TACGCTGGCACCATCAACCTACACACGAATTGCTGAACAACTACAATCGAACAACGCCAAATATCCACTCAAACGAGTAGTCGTCAAAGACATCAGCATACCCAGTCGTCGACGTTTTCACGTTTTGGATAATTTATTCATCAACGAAGTCTTGCCTAAACGTCTCATTTTGGGTTTGGTGGAGAACGATTCTTACGACGGCAATTCCATCAAGAATCCATTCAAGTTCCATCATCATCGATTAGAATACATCAAACTGATGAAAAATGGCGATGTGGTGGAAGAATATTTCATGGATTTTCCAAACAAACAAGCCACAACACCATATTTAGATTTGATGAAAAGAGTAGGAATACTCAACAGCAAAGAAGATTTGGATATGTCTTACAACGACTATATTAAAGGCTACACTCTTTTTGGTTTCGATTTAACCAATGACCACGGAGCAGATCAAGTCAATTTTCACCCCAAGTCGTCTGGAAGTTTGTCTTTGGAATTGAGATTCGAAAACGCTCCACAGAATCCACTTAATTTGCTATTGTTTGCTGAATACGACAATGTCTTGGAAATCGACGTCAACCGCCAAATATTGGTGGATTGGTAAACCTTTGTATACTGCACAGTTGGAGGAAGGATTGGGTTGTCATATCCCTGAACAATTTGGGGGTGTCCTGGCTAGAAATCAATTACAGACGTTAAAACCAACCCACTATCCCATGGCATACGTCGTTAACACCGATGACGAAGACCAGCCTGGAAAACATTGGACCGTGTTTGTCTGCGAAGAAAACCATAAAGATTTTGCCGACTTTGCTCAACGTCAAGGACCAGTACGACACAACTCCCAATGGATTCAAGGACTCCAAAGTGTTGTGTGTGGTCATTATTGCCTATTTTACCTGTGTCATAGATTCCACGTACCCACATCAAAAGCCTTGTCGGTGTTTAAATCGAATCTGACTGAAAATGATCGTTTAGTACATGCTTGGACCCATGACCATTTTCCCTGTTTAAGATTTGAGGATGGCCAAACTTGTCGAAGATTTATGGATGTAAATACGTTATAGTTATTGTTATAGTTCAATTCTTTAGTTTATTATGTTATTATTGTTCATTGTTGATTGATTATAGTTGAATAAAGTTTAAAAAAATACCACGTGATCTTTTTTATCCAATCCAAATCTCTTTCCGGTTGACAGCCTATAAAATCGCAGCCATTTGTCTTTGGCCATTCATTTGCACCATGGCAGCCCAACCTATGATTGTTGTGCAACTTGTGGAAGTGGATGACAGTCCTGTCAAAGTATTTACCCGCAATGGTAAAACTGTCATCATCACTCCGGATGACATCTACCTTTTGGAAGAGTCGGCGGTGAACGAGACACCTCGAAGACGGAGAATCACTCCAAAGCTGTTAGCCAGCGTCCGTCAGAGGTTCCGTCACAGAGTTCGTCGAAGGCTCTTCTAAAAGGAGTGAGTTAAAAAAACAGCCCTTTTCAGGGCTACCTAATCAAAATAAAAGAGTTCCCTTTTCCTTGGGTTTTACCCCTTGAGATTTCCCTTTGGGATTTCCCCTTGAGGTTTTACCCTTGGGATTTCTCCTTTGGATTTCCCCTTGGGATTTCCCCATTGGGATTTCCCCCTTGGGATTTCCCATGACGTCATCGGGATTCCCGTAGGGGTTTCCCCAATGACGTCATCTCCCTAGCAACGGAAGTCACGCATGCGCATCCTTAAACCGGATGTGACGTCATCCCTAGCAATCATTATGACGTCATCCGTTGCCTAGCAACCAAAGTTCCTAGCCCTATCCCCCTACTACTCTATATATGACTTCTCTATATATTGCATAGTATCGCTAATATTGTGTAGTAGGCCATTATAACTTTCAAATGCTAATAATTATGGATGCACATGAATTTGAAGGCTTAAATTTCAATGGTGTTTTTGAGACTTATCCAAATCAACCCACGAAAATGAAGCCTGTGCCCCTTTAATTGCAAAACTGGAATATAATTATAAAATATTATTTTGAATTAAAAACTTGAATTTCCACCCGGATGAAAATGAAATTTCACTCAGGTGGTAATTCTATAATATTTATCTAAAAACTTGAATTTCCACCCTTTTCACCCAGATGATAATTCCTAAACTTTGAATTAAAAAAAAAACGAATTTACACCCGGGTGGAGATTAATTTTCACTCTGGTGATAATTCAATAATATTTAATTATTTTTTTTCTAGAATTATCACCTAGGTGAAAATTATTTCCGTCTGGGTGAAATGTATTTCCACCATGGTGAAAAAGTTTTTAATTACTATATATCATTGAATTAACCTGATTTAAATTCAAAATTATGTTTTATAATTATATTCCATTTTTCCATTCAAAATAAAAAAAAATAATCGATGTCATATACGAACCACCGTAGATAAGGTCTAATATTTTCGATATGAGATATAGAGTATACTAGGGCCGTTTATAGTTTTTTATTAAAGCGAAGCAATTACATGCTATAGCCGTATAGAACAATCGAACATATATACAATAACAATATAGCAAAAAAAAATAGTAAAAAACCAAAAAAGAAAAACATTGCAATGTACACATTTACCAACAGGCAAACCAAATTACATATACATTATTCATATAAAAGTTGATTTCTCATGGAATTAGCTTGGAAGATAAATTTACCTAGATTTAAAAGTTCTCTATCTGTTTGTGGGGTCATTAATCTGTTCATTTTGTATAAAGATGGAAATGACCAGAATTGACGGTGGAAAAACTGACGGCGAATTATATTATAAGTTGGACAACATAAAAGAAAGTGAAATTCATCTTCAATGTACTTAGACTTGCAACACAAACAATATCTCTTCTCACGAATAGTTTTATTGAAACGACCTATTTCAATATGGAGTTTCAGATTTCCGACACGAAATTTACAAATAAGGAATTTGAATTTGTCACCGATGTTTGCATCAAGATACGATTCGAACTCGAATGAAGATTTATAATTTTTATAGAACCGGAGCTTGCTGGAATTCTCGAGATTCGAATGCCAAGTTTGAAGATACTGGTCTTCAATTCGCCTTTTAATCTCAGATGGGTTGAAAAGCTGAGGGTTCTCAAAGACAAATGTTAGCCCGAGTTCGTTAAAAAGAAATTTAATACCAGAAACCCAATTACGCTTGCCATTCATTTCATCTTGACATAGAATTTTATATACACCAAAAATCAAAGGATTGTCAGAACAAACGACTTTATACCAGAATTTAAGAGACGTGATTTTGCGCAAAATTGACAATGGGAAAAGACCAACTTCTCCCAATGCTGCTGCTAGCGGGGTGCCTTTTCCTAGACGGAGAATGTACCTCACGAAATCGTTTTGAATATTTTCTAAAGAATTACCAGGAAGCAGACCCCAAACCTCGGATGCATATGAAAGTACAGATATTACCGTTGACTTGAATAACAAGCATTTGCTAGATGTATTTAAATAAGAGGATTTTAACATAGAGATGAGAGAGCCAAGCGCTTTTCTACCCTGGGTTGCAATTCTCTTATGTGCGCGATGGAACTTTCCATTTTGAAAGAAGAGGATACCAAGATAAATATACTCGTTTACGATTTCGAGATCGATCGATTCTAACTTGAATGTATAATTCGCAGATAGTTTACCACGATGAAATATGACAACTTTGGACTTATTAACATTAATTTCAAGATTCCATGAGCGACAATACTGACTAAATTTATCTAACAGTGTTTGGAGTGCTGAAGCAGAGTTTGCAAAAAGTGCCGTGTCATCAGCAAATAGCAATAAATAAACTAATAAATCACCAATCTTTACATAATCAGGATTATCATTACAAAGAAAATCCTGGAGATCGTTGATAAATATCAGGAAAAGCAGAGGGGACAGAGGTTCCCCCTGCTTAACTCCTGAATGACTACAAAACTGCTTCGACAAAGAACCGTTGAACCTTACAATTGAATTAACATCTTTATACATGGATTTGATCATTTTTATAATTTTACAACTAACTCCAAGGGAGTTCAATTTAAATAACAAGAGTTGTCTGTCCACATAGTCGAAAGCCTTTTTTAGGTCAATAAAGGCACACATTAATTTTTTTCTATTGTTTAGAGAATGGCTTATTATTCCATCGAGAACAAATATTGCATCCACAGTACTCCTATGAGCTCTAAATCCGAATTGACAATTATCGAGGAGCTCATTTGTTTCGCACCATTTGGTGAGCCGGCGATTCAAAATAGTTGAAAATAATTTCGCAAATATATTTATAACACAAATTCCGCGATAATTGTCAACCATGTTGGGGTCACCATTCTTTGGCACGGGAACTATAATACTGCTACACCAAATTTCCGGATAGCATCCCGAGTCAAAAATTATATTGAAAACCTTGCGAAGAAACGGAAGTAAGATGTCCGAACTTTCGATGAAAAATTCATTACAAATTTGATCGGGACCGCAACTTTTGTCGTACTTAAGTTTTCGAATGGCAAATAAAACCTCATCAGAGCTTATTTCGTAGTCAAGTGACCCAATACATATATTGTTGGTGTTTTCAATGGCAACATTATTAATCTCTGATTGATGATTATATAACGCACTGAAATGATTAAAGAAATCAGTAGAAGTTAAACTTGATTTGCGAGTAAATCGTTTTTGGGTTTTCAAGGATTTCCAAAATTCTTTTGGGTTTGATCTATGAAGAGCACTGAGTCGCCTACCATATTCCTTACCGAAACTAAATTTAGCCCGGCGTTTTGTTCGATTGAAAAGTTTTCTGTGTTCACAGAAAATTAATCTATCATAATCTGTACGCGTCTTTACGAATCTGTTTCGACTCCGGTTAAATTTAGACCTAGCTTTCCTACAATTAGAATCATACCACTCATTATGTTTCAATTTGGATGAAAAACGTCTAGAATTATTCCGTATTTTTTGTTTGCGACCGAAGCATGATACAGAAATATCATAAAATAGAGAAGTTATATTCTTAACAAGTATGTTAACATCGTTACAACTAGCATAGGAGTCCACTAGCTCATTTAGTTTTATCAATTGGTTGGTTAAAGATTGCCTGAATTCATCGGACCTTTTAGAATCCCACTTAATGAAAACAGTTTCAAGACTTTCGGGGGGACGTTTCAAGTTCACAGTTTCAGGATTATAGTTAAAACCAAAGGATAATGCACAGTGGTCTGAAAATTCTGATGCGTTTTCAACAGTAAAATTGGATAAACATTCAAAAGAGAAGGGATCTGCTAAAACATAATCAATGACACTGGAACCTCTTGAGGAATTAAAAGTAAATTTACCAACATTAGAGTCCGACCCCTGTCGGCCATTCACAATCACACAACCAATTGATTTACATAAATCAAGTAGTTTTCTACCGAAGTTGTTGACAACAACATCCTCGGAAGATCTATCTTTATAATTTACAGAGACATCACATTGATCAAAAAAGCTGTTCGAAATAAACCGGTCATCACTTAAGGGGAATATCTGATCAGAGACAGTACTGGTTCTGCTATTTAGATCGCCACAGACGATAATACTGCCCAACTTTTGGAATTCCAAACAAGTTTGATGAAGCTCAAGAAAAATGTCAAAATCACACAGACTGTGAAAAGAACTGGATTCGGGAGGAATATAAACGAATATGATGAAGAGGTCACTAGAGATATTAGATCGAGATACACTACTGATTTTGAGTACACACAGACCCCAGGACCTTTTCTGCACTACAGATATGGAATTTTCGAACGGATACATAGCAAATACTGCTAGACCTCCACATATTACACTGCGTTTACCTAAATGGAAGGCATCACCACGATTAATAAAAATCCCCGGAGAGAATCCCTTTAGAGCTATTTTGTCACTGTCCTTCAACCACGTTTCCGATAAGAGAAGAATGTCATACTTGGAAATATAATTAAGAAAATAGTTATCGTCAGCCAGTGATTTTAGGCCGTTAATGTTCCAGACAGCAAATAACAACTTCTGGTTCACCCATGGAATGTGCTAATGGTTGCCACCCGACAAAATCGTACCATCTGAAGCCTCTCTATTAACGATAGAACCAGAAGCGGATGTAGCAGGTGCAACATGTCTTCGACCGTTTGTGAAAAAATCAGTTATCTTCGGGACGGGAGTCGATGTGGAGGATGGTCCAGTATTAAACGACAAGTTAGAGGGACCAGGCATCGTGGTTGGGACGGGGTTAGCCGCTTGACTTGGCACTCGGATATCTCTTGGGTTAGGTTCCCTCACGATATTTTCGTTTGTTTGAGGCACTGAATAGTCTAATAAAGGAACGACAAATTCTACCAAGTCAGACTCAGATTGTATGGTTACAATCTTATTCTGAAGAGTTTTGATGCAGATCCTCCCGTCATAGGTCCAACAGCTGTCGATCAGCTTCTCTTTATGAAGATCACGCACCCGTTTGAAAATACCTGCACGATTCTTTGTTAAAGCCTCATTAACGAAAATCTTGAAATTTCTGTCACGGTTGTATCCTTTCAGATTCGACTTCTTGCCAAATACCAATGCACGACATCGATAACTAAGGAATCTCACAATTATGTCACGTGGCCGATTTTCCTGACGAGGACCTACTCGGTGACTTCGACCAATATCATATAAAGTGATATGTATATTGTCCTTAAATAGAATTTCATTATTCACAATACTTAAGATAATGTCGTCTGTATTTTCGTTGGCCTCCTCAGGGACACCTGAAAACTTTAGACATGTTCTTCTGGAGTATTGCTCGAGATCATCGATCCTATCTTCAAGCTTTGTAATCCTTTTCATAAATGGCTGAAATAATTCCGGATCAGGTTTTAGTTGATTCACAATGTGCGACTTAGCAGCTTCACTTTTAAGGAGATTGGTTATGAAAATCTTTAAAGAGTTATCGTCCTTTAAAAGTTTGTCCAAAAATTCTGCCGAGGACTCAAGTGAAGAATGGGTCTTGCCCGTTTATTATTGCCTTTCGTTCCGGTGGTCTTGCCACGAGTCATGGTTATCAAGTGGGATCTTCAAAATACTGGATAGTTAATTAAATTGGAGTAAATGTTCACAGTACGTATTGGTCGAATGTCGAATGTCGAAACAAGTTCGACCGAAAAAAGTTGTACACTTTTATTTCGTCATTCGCTTAAAATATAAACGTTCAATTAAAAATTATACCTATTGTCGAATTCCTATCCCCACAGTGATTATCTTTAAGACATGATTAATAGAATAATAGGTTGGGGACTTCAAAACAGATGTAAAAACCGAACCACTCTTTGTTTACATTTGACTCACTTGATTACGTTTATTAGTTAAGGTTTTCATGTAATACATGTAGCTTGTGAATCAGACGTTTGGTTTTTTATTTTTAATATAACTACGGGGAACCCAAAGGGGAATTGCTGAATTAAAAATCACAGGAACATCTTACTTTTATGTACGAAACCCCCAGTCACAGGGTTTATAAAATTCAACAGCTGATAGAATTTCATCCTAAACCTCTATAGCAAAAGGGTCGAATATCTGATTCGTCGGATGCCTTCCCTGACAGGGGAAACGGCTTGAAAAATCCAAAGGTATTGCTGGGATTGAACCCTGGACCTCTAGGTTAGCGAGCAAGCGTCTAAATAGAAACGAAAAACAGACACAGAAAAACGACTAGGAAACGACCCTAAACTATTTTGCTATAAAGTCTAAGCATACTAATCAGGCCGAAAAAGTAATTACTTTTCCAAAAATATGCATTTGGAAGAAGTTCACTTTAAGGGTTTGGTTAGGAGGTTTTCTAGCCTATTTGTGTGTATCGGAGACACTTCCAACTTCTATTTTTGTTAGTATAAAGGGTTATAAGTCAGTGAATATTTGTTGAATAGAACCGAAATTCAACATTGTCCAAGATCTTATGGATAAGTACTACACACAAAATTTTATTAAAATCCGACCAAAACTTAGGCCTCTATCTTGATCACAAGGCATTTTTCAGCATATTTTGGGTGTAAAACTCCATGAAGATTTGTCGAATCGTACCCGAATTCAAACTTGTCCAAAGTCTTATAGATACAATGCTACACACAAAATTTTATTAAAATCCGACTAAAACTGTAGCCTCTATCGCGTTCACAAGCCATTTTTAACATATTTTGGGTGTAAAACTCAGTGAATATTTGTCAGGTCGCACTCAAATTCGAACTTGTCCAAGATCTTATGAATGTAATCCTACCTACAAAATTTTATTCAAATCCGATTCAAACTGTAGCTGCTATTGTATTCACAAGCCATTTTTCATATATTTTGGGTGTAAAACTCCATGAATATTTGTCGTATCTAACCCAAATTCGAACTTGTCCAAGATCTTATGAATATAATCCTACACACAAAATGTTATTCAAATCCGACTCAAACTGTAGCTGCTATTGTAGTCACAAGCAATTTTTAATGTTTTTTGGGTGTAAAACTCCATGAGTATTTGTCGAATCTAACTTAAATGCAATGTTACAACCTATAATCCTAATTCGAACTTGTCCAAGATCTTATGAATATAATCCTACACACAAAATTTTATTCAAATCTAACCAAAACTTTAGCTTCTATCGCGTTCACAAGCCATTTTTAACGTATTTTGGGTGTAAAACTCATTGAATATTTGTCGGATCAAACCAGAATTCGACTAGTCCAAGATCTAATGAATTTAATTCTACACACAAAATTTTATTCAAATCCAAGCAAAACTGTGGTCTCTATCGCGTTCACAAGCCGGGCGGACGGACCGACGGACCAATGGACGGACAGGGGCGACGGCAATATACGACCACATTTCAATGTGGGCGTATCAAAAAGGAAGTGTATAAAGAACCGGATCCGGTTCCCTACTGATTGGCTAATTTGATCACGTGGCTACATATCCGGTTTCTGACATTATGTTTTTTTAGGTGAGCGTGGTTTTGTAAAAACACTATAGAATTGAAATTACGAAAGCACAGGCCGAGGATAAGATAGCAATGTATAGGTATTTTTTTAGGGTTAGGGTTGTTAGGATTAGCTAATCACTAACGATATCCGGTTCCGTAGTATTAACAGAATAACAGAAACTACGGAATCTGGCGGAAAGTTCGAATGTCTCAAATAAAAGTTGGAAGTGTCCCCGATACACAGGCTAGAAAAGCTCCTAACAATCCCTTTAATGACCTATACGCCTTTCATAGTTTCCATTTTGTCTTTGATATAACGCACATAACCCACACCCAATTCAATTTGATGTATAACAGTGTTTACCCCACTACTTCATTTCATCTGATGACGACATAATATGATTTTAAAGAAGTGAGTTATACCATAATATCCTTTTGTGTTTTATATGTATAACATTGTATAACTAATTTTGATTTATCAATAAACCTTTTCACAAAATTCTATTAAAAAATCGACCAAATCTGTGGCCTCTTCTCAAGCCACCTTGAACGTATTTGTGGTGTATCAAGGGTTAATTTTCCGTGAATTTGTCGAATCGAATCGAAATTCGAACTTGTCCAAGATCTTATGCATATTAACCTATAACACACACAATTTTATTAAAATCCGACCAAAACTGTGGCCTCTATCGCGTTCACAAGCCAATTGTGGACGGACGGACCGACGGAGAGGGGCTACGACAATATACGACCACATTTCAATGTGGGCGTATAAAAATGATTACCGGTTTTTTGGCCTGATTAACATGCTTAGGTGGAATGGGGAAGGAGAGGGGGGGAGGGGTTTATACCTATATTTTGTAGTCATCAAACAATTTAATTGTCTACTTACCTCGTCATTTTGCATTTTAGCTATGGTCTCTGCTTCAATTTTCAAAGATTCTAGAAAGAAGGAAAACGGACTGTCTTCGGCCATACTGTCCGATTCATCAGATTCGTGGAAATTTGTGGGATTAGTAGACCTACTCATAGCTCTGACGGTATAAATACAAATGGGTGATCTGCAGTTCGTAACTCGAAAATAAATGTTTTATTACGAGATAGTTAAGTCAAAAAAAATGTCTTAATTTCTAAATAGGAGATATATAAGACGAAATAAAATGGTTTTTTTTTTACCAATGTCATGTCCCCAGAGCGCTGTTGGTTCCATTTAAAGAAATGAAATTTAATATCCAATCAAGATATCTTGAAATTAATGTCTTAATTTCGTCTTATTAACATAAATTAAATGATAATAAAATAAAATATTTGTTTTAAATATTATGGCCCCAGGACGCTTCCGTACTAGACCGCTCGATTTTTATATTGGACTTTAATTATGAATTCGCTCGTTACATCTACGGAATCCCTGTCAATATCATCAAAAACAACCGTTGAAGATCTACTGAATTTTACAAAAGTACAAATACATACCTTCCTCAGGTTAAATCACATGAAAATAAGTGGAAACAAACTGACACTTGCCCAGCGTGTTGTTGATGCTATACGAATGCAGACGATCGCTGATTCTGTTGAGAAGTCTGATACTGATACAAACGTTGATAATAATATCAACTCGTTAAGTGCGGACGGCGCCCGTACCATATCAGAGCTATCATCACGCTGGATGGGAAAATCTTTCCATTTCCCTAATGTGACCATCAATGACATTGAGAAATATCTCCTTCACAGTAGCCACAGGACGGAAGATGCTGGTAAAATGCAGTATTATAGACAGTATATCAGGGGATTGAACTTTTACAAAGGTTATATTCACAAAATCAGGATTAATGAAATAAGCGACACTAGTCAACTGTGCTACATACGTTCAAAGTACTATCCATCCATGCAACAAGGTGTATATGAGCAGTGGATGTTGGTAACAAAGGATGGTCCCTTTCAAGTTGTGAAAGCGAATTGCACATGTCCTGCAGGGTAAGTAAAATACCACTTATTAATTTGAAAAATGTATTGCCCAACAACTTTAATTCCACTGTTGTTATCTGTGTTCAAAATGAACCATCACATTTTGTAGGTTTCAAATTCAAGGGGTATATAGCCTATGAGATCTCACTGTTATAAGTCAATCTTTGTATTGTAATTCAATATCCAGTATAATTATTGGAGGATATTCAGACTCATACGCTTAAATGTAGTCTGGATATCATAACAGAGTAATGTCCCTTTAAGACGAATTGACCAAGGAGGTCGTTTAGTCCTATTCTATGATTTAATCTAGTCCGCATGTCTTGAAACACTGCTGTGTATATAATGTTTAGTTTACAATATAATTAATACTTTAATGAAGTCTTCTCTGTTATAACATGTTCACCAAAGAACATACCAATTATATGCACTAGGTTAACGAAGGAAGCATCAATAATAAGTAAGCCTACTTTATAGTATTTAAATGGCATAGTATTTTCTATTGTATACACAACTGATGTTGATAGTAACTGGTAGTAAAATAGTTACAACATTTATATATTTCAGCTGTGGAGAGGGACAATACAGTGCATATATCTGACATGGGCTTAGTGCTTTGCGAGGAATTTTCATATTTTGGTGCAAGTCCAGATGGATTAGTGAGCTGTGGGTCCGACCAGTATTTAATAGAAGTTAAATGTCCATACAAATAGTGGAACAGTTCATTATTTTTGCTTTGTCAATGACAATGGAGATATTCAGCTGAAGGTATTATACTCAAATTCAAAGTCAAATGGGTGTTTGCAAATTACAAAGGTGTGACTTTACAGTTTATACAGTGACAGATTTTGTTATAACTGTTGAATTTGACAAGTTGTTCTGGGAAACCCTGCTACATCAGCTGACAGCATTCTATGTCAGTGAAATTAATCCAAAGATATGTTAGCTAGGTTAGCTTTAGCACTGATACTGGATAAGAGTGATTTTGTGTCGACGCTTCATCAATTTGCATTTGACTACCATAAAGTAATATGCTTCTGTAATGTGAACTTTCATCCTGTAAATTTATTGAACAACAATATAAATTGAGAAATTTGTAAAGTGGTTAAGTGGATTGGCGGAAAATAAGTCAATAGACTTGGGTGATCATGTACGAGTGTCCGTTGACAAGAAGTATCCAGGTGTGGACATACGGAAATTTTATTGGTGCGAGGAGAAACAAATGTTGAAACCCTCCAGAAAAGGGTATCACTTGAGTATCGATCAATTTTTCATACTCAAGGATTGTTTTGGTACCATTGGGGAAACATTGCCTCGTGTATGGGAGGCGTTACAGGATTGTAAAAAAGTGATTGGTTCTACATTGTCCCCGTAATGAATAAATATGACTGGTATCAGGGGTTAAGAACATTAGTTTAAAAAATGGCTCTTTTAGCGGTAACTGAAATTTTCGATGACTATCAAGTGTTATTTCAATGATGGGAATGTTACGGAAGGGGCTATCATAAGCCTGTGTAGAGACAGTGCCCGACGAAAAGTGACTTTTAAACTATCGGTAGACGAATTGAATGATGAAAAGTATATTGTACAACCCGAAGTTGTGATAAGGGAGGTGATCAGTGAGACTCTTTCCTGTATTTTTAGCGAGATTAAGCATGTGGTACTAACGAGAAAGCATTGGAAAAATGGGCAGGTCACACATTTCACCATCCCAGAAAATGTTTTTAACGCTGTGGTTAAAACGTGGACAAATGATTTTAAGTCAGGCTCGTTATATGGTATACGTCTGTCCGTCAAGATCATCTTCTAAAGCATCACCAAAAGACTAGACACTAACGGCCCAAGGAGAAGAATGGCATACAGATGTGAAAACATGTATAGCAAACGCGTACAATAAAGGATGGGATCAGCCCGATTGCTATGGCAGTCAAGTAAGAGTTGAAGGAGTTTATTTGGAGAGGCCCGGTATAATACCAATGAACAGTAGTCAAGTTTTGCGAACGATGTTTAAAACAGGTTTTGGGTGCACATTATTGTCCATCGCAAGATGTAATTGATCTAGTAGTTGCTATATTAGCGCACATGACTAATGAGAAAATTACCATGTGCATTACAGAAGAATGTGATGGATGTGCCGAAAGTATCAACAATCAGCTCGGTCACAGCTGCCTAGGAATAAACGAATTTTAAGAAGAGCTCGATTTCGTTGAGATGTATTTCGAAGAGTGTTTTAAAAACTTAACAAAAAAAACTTTCATGTTATTTCAACCTCTACTGTTCGAACAAAGGTCCGATCTGTTCGATACTGCAAAAATGCATTGGAGAGATTTAGTACTTAAAAAAGTGAGGGGTCTAATTAAATATATTGTAAAAAAAATGAGATGATGTTTTCGTCAAGGATACCAGTCTGTTAACAGCGATATTCAACCTGTATGTCATTTTGTATTACTTTATTTCTTGTATTTATGTATATAAAACTAGTATTTAATATAATCTTATTTATTTCGGTACGATGGATGTGAGGCTTCAAACATCTTTTACTTGCATGATTGTAGGCCCCACACAATCGGGCAAATCTCGCCTGGTGGTAAAAATGTTGAATCGTTTGGTTGAGACATTCGACACCGTACCCCAGAATTGTATGGTGTTACGGAGAATGGCAGGCTCTTTACGCAGAAAATCTTAGAGTTGGGGTAGAGTTTGTAGAGGGATTCGACGTAACGATAAATGATGGTGAATCCACATTGATAATAATTGATAATTTGATGGATGAGACGAATGAAACAGTCTCTAAGATGTTCACAAAAGGATCTCATCATAAGAACGTCTCTGTTATTTATTTATTTCAAAACCTCTAAAGGCAAATTTTTTTGAGCGATTAAATAAAAAAATTATAGATCAAAATCTGAAGAAGTAAGAGTCTAACATTATCAGAAAGTTTTAATTATGAAAAAACTCGCAAAAAAAAGAAGAAAAAAACATCTTAATTTCTAAACGCTAAAACTATTTTAAATCAGATGTTCGGAGTTTTTTTCTGTTTGGTAAATATTCGGATTTACGCAAATGTAACTCCAGATTGAAGAGAAAATATTTCTCCTTATTCTGAAAGTTTCAACTAAAAAATTTTTTTTAATGTAGAATACCGAGGTATTGACCCTTTAAAACAAAATTTAGCTCCGGTCAATTCGCTACTAGAAGCGATCAGATTTTTTTTAGAAATGTTTTCGAGTTAACTTTTGCTTTTCGAACTTTAACATGCCTTACTATTATTATCGAAACGAATGCATCGATTGTTTTTTCTTTTCTTTTTTAGTATTACAAAAAACAAAACAAACAATATGGATAGAGAGGATGAAATTCTTTTAAATGCTTTAATGGACTACGAAAGGGGACTAATTGATGACGATGAGCTGTGGTCGAGCCCATACGAGGGTGAAATGGACAATTTCGACAACAACGAAACAGCGATACCCCCTAGTGCCCAATCACCATTTGAGGTAGGGATTTTCTGTGTTTGCGTCTTTTATTATTACGCTATTCTACGATTTCATATACGATGTGTAAATTTAAAAACAATATTCTGAATGTTCTTATTTATTTTATCACAACAAAAAAAAACGTACATTTTTTCTTTTTAAGATTATTATCCTCTCAGATGATGAATATGATGATTCTCAAGAAGTAATCCCACCGTCCCCGTTTTCACCTAAACTTTTTTCGGACAACGAGGTAATTCGATTCCGTTTTTCATATATGGTAATGCAGAAAAGCAGGACGTAAAACTCCATTTCATTTCATATATATGGTAAAAATAAATAAAATTAAAAAACGGATTCATTTTATTTTCTAGACAATAACGCCGCCGCCGTCTTCACCTTTTATTGAAGTAATTTCCAGCGACGAAGAAGGAGCACGTAATGCCGCACCCGAAAGATTGTCTGGACAGGTAAATATAGATTTCACTATACTGAACGTCAATCGTCTTTTTTTTTTCTTTTGTTTCATTGCGATTTTATTAACTTTTGTTTACATCGTTATTTTCTATTTTATTTTTAGCAAATCCCCGTTGCCATTTTTAGGCAATATTATAGTTTTTCGCCCCTATCGAGGATGAGGCGTCATGGACACCTCCGAATATCATCAGTTTAATCGAAAGAATAGGTGTCCTTTACACAGAAGATGTGATAGAATGTCTGCTTTCGCAGAGATTTCTTGATCAGTTTTAAAAAAAAAACGTTTATCATTATTTACTGTTTTTTTTATTATTATTAATAGCGTGGTACAGGTGAAGAACAACAACAGTTATTCACGAACACCTCCGAATATCATCAGTTTAATCGAAAGAATAGGTGTCCCTTACACAGAAGATTCGATAGAATCTCTGCGAAAGCAGAGATTTCTTGATCAGTTTAAAAAAAAAAAACAAAAAAAAAACGTTTATCATAATTTACTGGTTTTTTTTTTATTATTTTTAATAGCGTGGTACAGGTGAAGAACAACAACAGTTATTCACGAACACCTCCGAATATCATCAGTTTAATCGAAAGAATAGGTGTCCCTTACACAGAAGATTCGATAGAATGTCTGCTTTCGCAGAGATTTCTTGATCAGTTTTAAAAAAAAACAAAAAAAAAACGTTTATCATAATTTACTGGTTTTGTTTATTATAATTAATAGCGTGGTACAGGTGAAGACCAACAACAGTTATTCATCCTGGAAACGGTGAGGAGAGGGTATTCGGCAAAATTTAACGTTTACACGGAAATAATGCAAGTAAGGATTAATGATAATGCTGTCGTAACTCAATGGCTTGAACAATTCATTACGCAAATTATTCAAGATGCAAGCGAAAGATTTAACATACGGGATGATGAAATGATTAGGATTGGGTTTCCGCACCCCGAGTTTCAAATTCCGATCCTTCACTCTTTTACATTGATGAGGGA